CAACGGTTAGTCATCAGAGGTGGCCTGTGTTTCAGTAAACATCTCCTCTCGGTCAAAGCAGTGAGAGGTCCTGTTTCTTCCAAGGACCTGTGTGGCCTTACTGAGCCCGTCACTTCAACCCTTTGAGCCTTAGTTTCCTTGCCTGTAAAATGAGAGAGGCTCATTTGGTCTCGAATGTTCCATCTCATTCCAGACTCTGATCAATTCTGTGACATTTCACAAGAGAGGTGACAGACTCGGTGGTTTAAGCACAGAGGGCTTAGGCCATGTCCACGCACAGGAGTTCGATGGCCTTCGGCATGACCATTAGTCTTCATGCCGGCCTCTCACAGCAGGGTGAAAAATCACCAAAGGGCCGGGAAACCCGCCACTTGCCCGGCGCACCAAAAACTGCTCTCCAGAGGTCACTTGAAGTCAGACTAAAATTCAGTCACCTCTTTGAAGGTCGCTCTGTTTTCCTGTTTCTTGATTAAAACAAAACTGAAAAAACCCCACCCCTGGTGACCCGTCCTGCGGCTGGAAGCATTCCTAGGGGAAACTGAGAAAATGAATGACTTAGTGACTTACTGAAATCTCACCTGACTCCTGCCAGACGTAGGGATCCAGGTGCGTAGCCCTGCGTCAAACGGATACTGTGATTATTTCGGTGTTAATTTCAAGTCCTACCGAAACAATGCCGCTTCATTTTCTTAAGTAATCAATGCCATTGCCTTATTCACTTTGTTCCAGAATGCTTTTTTACTTGAAATTGGTCCCAAAGCCAGGATGGATCTACTGCGGAATTCTGGCTTGAATAAATGTCAGGAAAGAGGATCAAGGAAGAAAGTTCTGGTTGGAATCCATCAGTGGTTCTCGACCAGGGGCAAGTTTGTACTCCTCCCACTCCCCGAACATGTAGTGATGTCTGGAGACATACTTTTCATTTGTACAAATGTGTGTGTGTGTGTGTGTGTGGTGGGGGGTTGGGGGGTCATTATTACTTACGTCTCTTGGGTAGAGTTCATGGCATGATCCAGCCCAAAATACCAGTAGTGCTCTGAGGTGGAGAAACCCTGACATAATTCTCCTGGGGAAATAAAAGAAAACAGCCACAGGGACAGAGGGACAAAAAGGAGGGAGCAGAGGAGATCTGTCCCTCAGACAAGGAGAGGCATATGAGCCCAGGGAAAGGCTGGTCCTCAGTAACTCATCCAGCTTCCCTCCCCTTCCCTCAGCAACCTCCCTATATCCCCCCACCCCCCCACACTCACCCCCCCCATTTTCCTTCCTCACCTCTGGTCTTCCCTGCCCCCATTCCTCCATTCTGAAATGCCTCTGTCAGGGAGGGACCCTGAGGCCCTTCTTGGGGATAAAACTGGCTGTGGGGAAAATATGTGATCAAGAGAAGAAGCTAGTAAACTTAGGAAAAAGCGCAGCATAAATGGCTATTAAAACAATAAAGCATCTTAAAGGCGGTTTTTAACTGTTGTTCTGTTGATGTTTAATGCTGAGTGTGGCTGCCTCGGTGGGCTTAAGATAGAAAGGATTCTGATTTCAGATTTTTTTAAAAGATTTTATTTATTTATTTGACAGAGATCACAAGTAGGCAGAGAGGCAGGCAGAGAGAGAAGGAAGCAGGTTCCCCGCTGAGCAGAGAGCCTGATGCGGGGCTTGATCCCAGGACCCCAAGATCATGGCCTGAGCCAAAGGCAGAGGCTTAACCTGCCGAGTGACCTAGGCGCCCCCTCCACTTTTTTGTACACCATCAAACGTACACAAAACCAAAGCAGGATATAGCAACAAATGGGGAGGGAGAGAAAACATTGTGATCAGCTCTTTCTGACCACGCCCCGCTACGGCGGCCTTGGCCCCAAATAAATGATCGTGTCCAATCAAAATCCATGGAAGCAAGTGCATTTCTCAGATCGACTACAGTGCCGAACTTGTGTGTGTACAACAAAACAGCTTCAAACAACCAGGGGCGGAACCATGTTCGAGACTGCTCTGATGCAAAGCAGGAAGGAATTAGTGACTCATCAAAAACTGGCCTTCTTGTGCCATCTGGGTTTTCCCCACACACTCTTTAACTTGTAGGACCTGTCTGTGAATTTTGTCTTCACCCAGCGTTGTCTTTCGAAGGCTCTGAGCGCAGTCAGCAGGGAAATGAGCACACCGTCGCTGAGGACGGGGGTCTGTCCCCTTTGCAGTACTAGGAGACTGCTCAGTAGCCCTGAGCCCACACAGGATATTCTGGGGCTTAAACAAATTTAGGGTCCATTCTTTGGCCAGATGAGCACACGTCAGTGGCACTTCCTGAGTTCATTCTATAGCAAATATACACCAAAATGAACATTTGGGACACCCTGCCTTTTCCTTGGACTGTGCCCCAGGGTCTCTAAGGACCACTTAGGGGATTGAGAGCAGCTGTACCAGGACTGGCCATCCCACCGGGTCTCAAATGCATTTTCTAGAAGTGCCTCCCTTTTTCCTCCTTTATTTGTGACTACAACTCTTTGGCTTCTACAGTGACTTGACAAGGTATTTTGTAATAACCGTGACATCACAGGTCACTGCACCGAGTCGGGCTTGTGATATAGCCTGCTTTTTGTTGCAACTGGCACAAAATCAGAGCCACGCTTGTGGGATTCCTCAGCTGAGGCAAGCACTGGGGATCCAGAACCATCTACCTTAGAAGACAGAATGGGGGTGACCAAGCATGCTGGTTTGCTCAGAACGGAGGGGCTTCTTGGGGTACAACGTTTATGGCACTAAAATTGAGGAAGTTCTCGGCCAGCCAAAACAAGTGGTTCGCCTGATAGGGGAGTAATCTTCTTTGCCTCTTGGGAACCACAACCTTCAGTTACTAGCTATTTCCACTAAATCTACAATAGATAGCATAGCCTATGAAAACTATGAAAACCCCTATTCCAGGGGACTTCAGCAATCATCTGCCCTCTCATTTTGGCAGATACTCACACTTAAGAGTGGTGTAGACATTTTCCCAAGGTCACACAGCTTGCTAGTGGCATATCAGGAACCAGGCTCTAGATTGCCACAGTCCCCATTTAGGACACTGCCCATAGCATGCCCGCCTTTCGCTTTGCTGGTCTCTTTTTATTGCTCTTTTAAAATGCAAAAAAAAAAAAAAATGTAAAGTGACTTGTGCTGGCTTTCCTTTTGGCCGTGGAACTCTGCCATTAGAACAGTGTGAACTGGGTGCGGCCGAGGCCACGAACTGCATCATGGAGGTCTCCCGTGGCCAAGCAGAAAGCAGCAAGAAGCCCAAAGCCAAGGATACAAAGTCTAAGAAGGATTACTTCATTCCTATGCTCACCTTGGCATTCACGAGCTGATGGAAGATAAGGCCCACGCCCGCGGGTACAGAAACTCCGTGTTTCACAACCTGCACCTCTTCAAGGACAAGGTGGTGCCAGATGTGGGCTCCGGCACAGGGATCAAGTGTTCCCGTATCTGATTCCGCAGCAAGATTGCCAAAGCCAACAACAGAGACCGTGACCACGATCAGCCGAGGCCATTCACAACAATCCGATTCGATTCTCCATCCCAGCACACCACCAGCCGAAAGCGGTACCAGCGTACGTGGTAAGGGCGGTTTGTCTCTTTTCCCCCAGCTAAGGATTCACTGGCGTAAATGCAACCCAAAGAGAACGGCAGTTACCGTAGGCCATTCTTCCCTGCCACCTCTACAGCCACTGGGGGGATTTTCAACACACGATCATTTGTTGCCACCGAACGCTGCCGTGGACAGAGACGGTCACACGCCAGGACTACGTGCTTCTGGGTGAGGGGCTGGCTGGTGCTTGTGACTTGACCACACGCGCGTGCAGCTTAACATCTCGAAAATGCATGAAAATCTTGCTGCTTCACACCTACTTATCGTTTCAGAGGGAAGACTTAAGACGCCTGCTCTAAAAGGTGAGATTAATGTACAAAACACTCCATTCTAAGCACCGTACGGAGATCTCATTCAATCCTCATCATCGCCCAATAGAGGTCCCGTTCTCCCATTTCCCATCTATGGAAACTGAGGCACGAGACATGAAGCAACCCTCCCAAAGAGCTTTCGTTGCTGGTTTCACTGTAGTGAGTGGTGAAACCCGCTTCTGAGCATCGCGCGCTTTGCTCTCCAGGGGAGAAAACAGTTCAGAGGCTACAGTAAAACAAAGCAATCGGAACACAGCTCTGGAAAGCAAGGGCAGGGACAAGGTGGAGGGGGTGTTCTCAGGCTACAGGGAAATAAATCAGGAAGATGAAGATTCCTAGTAAAAAGGAGGGATCCCATTGACTTCTCCACACAATCTACACGAATGATACAGTGACATGTCTCAGCCCTTAACTTCCGTCTTCAAGGGCCATCCTCACTCAAGCACCTCATACAAATGCCCTGTGCCGTCCCGCTCTGGTCGCAGTGGGCATACAGCCATTGGTTGTGGAACATTCGCCACAAATTCTCATCTATACTGGTGGTCCCTTCACAAAGCCCTTTCGGATCTCCTCAGCCCGATTTGGCCCTCTGCCCCCTCGTATTTGCTTTCCCTTCGCCACTCAGCCTGTCCACCCTGGAGGTCAGCCGGCAGATTGGCTACGGACACGCCAAGATGAAATGAAACACTTCGGAAGGGGTGTGACAGCATTACTAGGTGTAATTGTAAAGTTGGTGACGTTCTGGGATCCCACCTCTCCTTTATTTTCTTCCTCCCTTCTAGTATATTCCATCACGTTGGGTCTTAAATGGTGATCTTCTCGGGCAGACTGTTACTACTTTAACGTATAAGTGCATTGTGCCATTTCTGACTTTTATAGGCAACATTGGGAATTATCAACTTTGGGACAAGGAAGGCTGCTGGTCAGTCCCGAAATACCTTCACCATGGAGAAAAGCTGACTTCAATTAACTTCTGGCTTCTCTGTAATTTTTATATGCCGGGCTAGCATCATGAGGTGCAAACACGTTCAGGAACCCCATCAAAACGCAGCACTTTGCAATGAGGACACAAACTATAACAGAAGGAAGTAGCACGATTTTATTGAAATGTGTTAGTACAGTGTTCGACGACCTTAAAATCCTATATCCTAAACCCATGTAAGCACTGCATCCGAACAGAGGCATGTTCTAACAGGAGCATCTGCACGCGGATTAACACACTTTTGGCCGGAGCACGAGCAGCTCTGGGGCACGTGTTATTTCTGTGGCTCCCCTGCTCGGCCCCACACACGTGAGTCGGACCCAACCGAGAGATCTGGTGGTTTCGCTTAAGGTCCGCACACAAGCAGCAAGGGCTGGCGAGTCTGGGGATGGGGCCGCTCCCGAGGCCCCCTTCATCATCTTTCTTGAACTGAAACCATCACATAGTCGAGGGGGTCTACGTTGCCGCTGTGTGTGGCCAAGTCTAGTCGAATTAGTTAATGTATCAGAACTACTTGAAAAACAACAAAGTGAGACTAGGAGAGAGAGGCGGTTGTTAATTCAATCATGATCATGCATATTTTTATCTGAAGATTATTCTGAAACTAGCTCTTAGACTTGAGAGAAAAGGATCACATTTAAATCAACTTTTTTCAGTCATGTTAATGTGTCTACGCTTGTATGCCAAGGCTGTCTACGTGTGCGTGTTTGTAACTACATTTTCACTGGTCTAGGCATAGAAATTCCAAGAAATAGATATTCCTCATTTATCAAAACTAAAAATTACAAACATCTAAGGAGGCTCTTTACATTATCAAGTCAACTCTGCCTAGAGAGTCAATACACATTGCACAGCCAACTCTACCAGGCTAGAATACCACTTTCCTCAAAATCCATTTTAAGGTACAGCAAGATGTTCATCTCCGCAATGACCCAAACGATATTTTTTGACCTCGACCTCTGCTGTAGTGAAGTTTGAAACCTTAAAGATTGCTGTTCAAGTCCATTGTTGACTTCTGGATTTGGTTTTGCCACCTGCAAAATTTAGATCAATTTCCTCTCTTCGAGTTTTAAGATTCAGCAGAAGAGAGGGACTGTTATTATTCCCAGGCTCTGTCTATGCAGGCAAATCTCTCTTCTGCCACACGTGGGGAGGCACCTCACCGAGGAGGATGCTGTCAAGGGCCACGTGTGAGTAAAGCAAGCTTCGCCTCCACCATCGCTCTTGGGCCACCACTGGAACGTTACCGTCACAAAACAATGAACACTTCCTTATCTTTACTTTCTCTGTACGCCTCGCTTACCCACGTTCTTCATGGAACGGTTTTAGTTAAAATCATCAGTAGTCTAGTAGACTTGCTACTTCTGATTACAAAAGGCAAAAGAATATTAAAACAAAGGAGGTCATGTTTAAATATGCATTTGGTGGTACTCAACAGAAATTCACCTTTTTATTATGTCAAAAACAATGAACAGACCAGTAAATCTGAGGAGACTTAGGGGAGTCTTTGTTTTGGCGGCAACCCACAATGTGAAATTATTGGAAAAAAGGCAAAGTAAAAGCTGGAACTAACAAAAGGCCATAAAACAAGACGGCGGGACAGGAAGAGCACAGCGTGAGTAGCCCCAGTGAGCCTGAAGGGTCTATCTTGACACTTCCTCAATCAGATTTGCCGCTGCACATAATTCTGGAATTTTAGAACATGACGTTTCAGGTAAGTGATGGTTATCATGTGTTTTTCAGAAGGGGCAATAAAAAAAAAATACGGATTGACTCTGCTGTCTCATGTTTATCAGAAAGTAAATGTGTCAGTGGCCATCTTGGGCTGCTTAAATTCTGGTCAAATTAAGAATAACCACAATGGTTTATTTGAATCCTGGTGACTAAAAAGAAAAAAATAAAGTAAAACCAAACTCGGGGTATTATCAATTTTCTAAGGTTCCCTCGGAAGTAAAAGGCTAATTCTGTATACAGGGTTTCACCCCAATGTCCATAGGCATTATCCTTATTTACACAGAAGGCTTTAATCTGAAGTCGCCTTGGGCAACCTCGAAATACATCAACTGTGAACTTCGGCGGTAGAATTCCATACTTGAAAGTTGTGGCCTCAAAGTACTGGCAAAACAAAGAAGAGGGTCACCTGTCGGGACAAGTTGGGATGACGAAACGTATCTCATTAACAACAAACAGTTCACTCACGAAGATCAAACAACCACCACCCTCCCCGGCCAAACTGGAAAGAAATGGTCTTGAGCTTGAGAAGGGGGGAAACAATGCGTCTTGGAGGATACAAGATGGGATGCTTTTGCGTTATATCCTAGAATTGCTGAGTCCTAAAACTAAGAAGTCAGGCGAGCACGCACAAGTGGGCCGGCCCCGCGCTCCCCGTCCGGGGTCTAGAGCGGCACGTGGCTAAACAGGTAAGACACAGATTCACCGTTGTGCGTTCTCCGGATTGCCTCTGCCAAGATCATCGAGATATCAATAACCTGCAGGCCAACAGAAAAGGGGAGAGCACAGTGGGACACCTCAGTCGTATTTAATAGTCGTATTTATTTACACGTATTTATTAAATAAAATAAATTATTTATTTATAGCGAAAAGCGTAGAAGCCACAGAGCCCAGAAAGGATTTTTCCAGCACACAGAGACGTGCGAGCACCAACCGCCCCCTCCGGCCACCCCCACTTCGATCTTCAAGTTACCAACATGCACGGGACTGGGGAAGCAAGAGTTCCAGTGCGAATACTCAGAGGCTTTTCTCAGGGTCCCTGTTAGCCAGAGACGTCCTTTTCTTGGGGTGTCTCTGGTTTAATTTTACTCAATCATGACACGGAAGGCTTTCCTCTCTCTCGGTTTCCAAAAATGCAGTGACCGTGTCACTTAAGATCACCTTGCTCAGGGGTCAGCGCACTAGGTTTTCAGGGAAGGCCCAGGGGTGGCATTTTCAGCTTGGCGGGCCAGGCTCAATTCAGCCACTGCAGTGTGAGAACAGCCACGGACATACATCGACAAATGAGCGCGGCTACGTTCCAATAAAACTTTATTTATAAAACCAGGCGGTGGGCCAGACCGGGCCCGGGGGCTGTATGTAGTCTGCAGACTCGCAACTACGGTCAGTCAGGGAGGAAAAGCAAAGACAAAGCTATTCTGACCATTTTCCAATGCGGCGCCCCCGGCCCTGGGCCAAATGAACCTCGCTGCCACTGGACGGGTCAGAAATCATGAAGCGGGTCGCCCAGCTCCACCTTCTTGCTCTGCTGGTGACAATGGAGGCTTTTAGCGATGGAATGACTCGCCAAGGTTCCCCGCAGCATAGAGCCAAAACGGGGGCTCAAATCCCTTCGGCACAGTTCCAGGCCGTCGGTACAATCTGAAGTCAGGAAGGGGCAAAGCTCTAAGTGTCCTTAGCACGGCCTGTTTTTTCGCCTCCATTTTTTAAAAATCGTGGGAACATACCCATAACGCGAGAATTGCCGTTCACCCCGCCATTAACCGCACTCTCAGTGCTGTGCGGCCAATCGCTGGTGCCCATTTCCAAAACGTTTCCAGCATCCCAGCCAGCACCTCTGTCCGTGTCAAGCGCCAGCTTCCCCTCCTCACCCCCAGCCCCTGGCGACCACCACTCTCGTCTCCGTCTCTCGACTGGACTGCTCTGGGCCCCTCAGAGAAGGGGGATCGTACACCACCTGTCCTTCTGTGGCCCGCTGCTTGCGCTGAGCACCACGTTTTCAAGTTCACCCACGTTGTCACCTATGCCGGACTATCCTTCCTCTTTAAGGCCGAGTGAAGCTCCATTGGCTGGACCCCACCTTGGCAGTCTACTCCCCTGTGGAAGGACTCCTGGCCGCTTCCACCTTCTGGCTACTGCGAAGAGCACTGCTATGGACAGACATGCGCAAGCTTTCATCCGCACACCTGTTTTCAAGTCTGGGGGTACAGAGCCAGAGGTGGAGGCATATGGTCATGCTATCCTGGGGCATACGGTCATGCTGTTCAGCTTTAGCCTGGCCTGTTTTCATCTGCTTTCCTGCTGTGGTTTGATCGGCTTAGTGTTTCTAACTTGGACCTCCGCTGGCCCCAGCCTCGCTCGGACCCAGCGAGGATCGCGCCCTTGGTTAGGAGAGGCCACAGGCCCCCATGGAAGACTCGGGGCTGTTTTCAGGATTGGACGGATGTTCCGCGCCGCTTGGTTCTGCCTGCCATATAGGAGTACCTGAATCTTGGGACAGTGTCTCATTTTGTCCTCTTGCGGAATGGTGTTTGTGACGACAACAGCTTCAAAGGCAGCATTATTTATTTGGGAAATAGCTGGTCCCGAGAAGATCCCGTGTGTCAGGATAGCATAAACTTTGGTGGCTCCAGCCGAGAGCAGCCTGTAAAACAGAAGAAGGGGGAAAAAAAAAAAAGAACAAATACCCTTGAAACATTCTCCCCTTAGTGTGATTTAAAAAGCAAAAAGTGTATTCCATAAAGAAAATCAGAAAACCAATTTCTCTCGCATTTATTAACTTAAAGAGAATCTTTTGAGGTATGCAGTGGCAAAACTCTTTGTGTCAACCTTGGCCTTGGGCCTCTGTAATTCTTTCCTGAGCAGCATCCCTGGCCTCTCCTTCCTACTCCCCCTCACTGGTGACAACCAAAAAACATTTCCAGATGCTGTCAAATGTCTCCAGGGGACCAAAACGGCCCTTGGGTGAGAAGCACAGGGTTAAACTAAGAAAGCCAGACTATCATCATCTTGAGCTACAGTCAGTACAGAAGAATTAGCGACACAGTTTGCATGTTTTTTGTTTCACACTATGTTGGAAAACCGGTGGGCACGGTTTGCCCCCCGCACGTCTCAAGTCAGGCCGGCGCCTTCGCAGGTGCTCTGCGGCCACACCTGGCGGGGTGGCGGCTCCCACTCCCCACTCTCCTTCTGAGCTGTTTTAGGGGAAGCACCTTCTCTGACCCTTTATTTTAAATACACAGAAAGCTCGTCCTTGAAAATGGAAACCAGGCCATAAAGGTCTGTGGGGTTTTTTCCTCCTGAGAAAAAAGAAATGGGCCTAGACGGTCCTTTGGTGTGAAAGACCTTCTGCAAGCAGCCAGTGATAATTTGGAAACACCGGCCCGATTTTTAAAAGCTGCCATTTCTCCTTCCCTAATGAGATGCCCTCACGCTTGCCCACACCATCCCTCATACTTGTCCGCGGCATGACAGATGGTGCCACATGTGTCAGCCATGTCGTCCACGAGGATGGCCACGCGGTCCTTCACGTCGCCCACCAGAACCATCCGGTCCACTTCGTTCGCTTTCTTCCTCTCTTTGTGAATCAAGGCAAATTCCACATTCAGCCTATCTGCGATTGAGGTGACCCTGTTCGAAGACACGGAGACGCGTCAAATCTTGTCATTATGAAGAAAAGCGCTTGTCACTCAGTGCTGTATTCCAGGAAGGCAGTTAACCCACCACACTCAAGACAACGAGGTCAGCGGGTCTCACTTGGAAAGCCAGGCCTGGCCTGGGATGCGCAGTAAGCGAGCCACAGGGAGAGACGTGCGCTGACGTGGCCTTGCGCTCGTGGCAGCCGGTGACGACTGCCGGGCGCCTGGATAAAACTGGCTAAAACCGCAGACTGAGAAATCCATACGCCGCCTGTTAGCGTTCGTGCGACTTTTTAAAAAAAGTCAGAGACACGTGTTGAATCACCATACTATCCACCCGAAACTAATGTAACGCCGCATGTTAGCCAGCTGAAATTTAAATAAAAACATAAAAAAGGGGGCGCCTGGGTGGCTCAGTGGGTTAAGCCGCTGCCTCAGGCTCGGGTCATGATCTCAGGGTCCCGGGATCGAGCCCTGCGTCGGGCTCTCGGCTCAGCGGGGAGCCTGCTTCCCCCGTCTCTCTCTCTCTGCCTGCCTCTCTGCCTACTTGTGATCTCGGTCAAATAAATAAATAAAAGCTTTAAAAAAAAAAGGTAAAAAAGAAGCACAAGGAAACAGCTGTATGTTTAACAGCATGAAAATACAGTGTATATGAAAAACCAATAAGGAAAAAAGATCACTAAGAGACAATTTAAATCACGTTATTTAGAAACCGCGACTCGCTCAGTTTGTGGCGTAGCCAGTGGGGACAAAAGTCCCGGCTCACAAATCCACATAACATGACAGCGAAGGAGAACAGGCTTCCCTGCACCAGGGACCTTGGGACTAGTAAACCGTGAGTTTTTCTGCTCATCTGCGGCAAATGCTCCAAAGTCACCCACTCAGGAAGGACTGGGCTGGCAAAAAAGGGAGAAGGGGGCAGGCCAGACGTCTCAGTGCGCCGTGGCGTCTGGCCACAGCTCTTCTCTTCCACGTACGCGAGACTCAATATATGTTCCTACCAAATGATGGTGATCCAGGGTATCACTCAGGATCTTACCCAGAAAAACCTAGAACAAAATACAGTTCCCTTGCCATTTCTTCTCAACATGTGTTTCCATTGTTTCCAGAAGAAAACAACAGAAGTTCAATCTGAATCCGTTTCACCAAGTTCCCAGCCTGGTTCCGTGTTTACACCAAGGGTGAGCTCCCTTCTAAGGGTTCACTTGCCCTTCAGCAGTCAGCCCCACTGAGCTTCGGAGACTACCCAAGAGTACCCTCTTGTGGCAATCCTTTTACCTGCAGCAAGTGAAGCTTCAAAGCTTTTAACTAAGGCAGCGGGTTCCAACGGGTCTGATACCCATCTTCTTTGGTGAGATGACTTTCATTGCATGGAGCAAAGATGCCATTGACCATGTCTACTGCATGTATCACGGGGCACCTGTGCAGCGGTTCTGTCGGTTGGGGACCAGCTTACCCCAAAGACGAAGAAGCTAATGACATGTAGCAGAAACTTTGTGGAAAAGGAAAGAAGGTGGCAATAAAATCCACAAGAGCCGCTCCTAAAACGCTTGGCTTTGCTGGCAGAGGGAGCGGGGTGGTTGAGTGGGACAGCCTTGAAGGGGATCTGCAAAAAAACAGCAACTCAGCACTGGCCACTAACTCTGGTTAGTTGATTCTGCACTTTTATTTTTTTATTTTTATTTTTTTTAAGATTTTATTTATTTATTGGACAGAGAGAGAGATCACAAGTAGGTAGAACAACAGGCAGAGAGAGAGGGGGAAGCAGGCTCCCTGCTGAGCAGAGAGCCCGATGCGGGGCTCGATCCCAGGACCCTGAGATCATGACTTGAGCCGAAGGCAGAGGCTTAACCCACTGAGCCAGCCAGGTACCCCTGATTCTACACTTTTAAAATCAAGGCTTGGGGTGCCCGGGTGGCTCAGTTGGTTAAAGCATTTGACTCTGGGTTTTGGCTCAGGTCACCATCTCAGGATTCTCTTTTCTCCATCTTCCTCTGTCCCTTCCCTCCCCCACCCCCGCCAAATAAATAAATCTTAAAAAAAAAAAAAAAAACCCACACACAAGGGTTGGCAAGTAAATGGGGGGAATTTGGTATATAAGATGGTGTTTCAAATCAAAAGGGAAAAGATAGATTATTTAATAAATAGTTTTGGAACAACTAGATGGCTGGGGGGAGAAAAAGCTGGATTCTTCTTCACTCTTTAATCCAAAACAACTATCAGATGGAAGAAAAATTGGAACATTAAAGAGGAAAAAGGCAATTTGTCTTGAAATAGATGAAATCATGGAAGAAAAATTGAGAACGGGTGAACCCTTCCTAAACCCAGAAGCCAGACCACGAAGCGATAAATGAGAACAGAAGAAATGTTCCAAAAGTCCTGCAGAGCATAAAAATAAACAAAGAAATGAAGAAATTGGGGACGTATCCGTACTACACCGCATGGAACAAAGGCACAGCCTCCTGTCTTCCAAGAACTTGTAATGATCCAGGGTGCCTGGGTGGCTCAGTGGGTTAAGCCTCTGTCTTTGGGTCAGGTCATAATCTCAGGGTCCTGGGATCGAGCCCCGCGTCGGGCTGTCCGCTCAGCGGGGAGTTGGCTTCTCCCTCTCCCTACTGCTCCCCCTGCCTGTGCTGTCGAATAAATAAAATCATTAAAAAAAAAAAAAAAAGCACATAAACCCCTAATGATCCAAAGGACAAGGCCTCTAGCCAACATGACAGCAGGCAAAGGCATGGCCAGGCCATCGTGGAAAAGACATGCCGGACCTTGTCCGTAGTAACCAGAATAAACAGGAAAAGATACCACGCCATCACTATCTGGTTCATAAAGTAAAAAAGGTCCGCCCAACTGCTATGGTAGCAGGCCTGGGGAGAAAGTCACAGGCATTCATGCTTGGGACGGTCAACCTGTCTACCTTTTCCAAAAGACCTAATTTTGTTCCTGTTCATGCAAACCAAAATGGCCCTTGCCCTAGGACTGGGCAACTGCCCTTCTAGGACTAGCTCATGTGTGCAAACGTCCTCCAGACACAGTCAGGCCAATGCTGCGGGACCGTGCTTAGGAGTACACACCACAGGACCTCCCCGCGGGGAACGAGGGGACTCGGTCAAGGAGTCCGGATGTAAGCGTACCGTGGAATTATCGCTCAGCTGTAAAGAGCACGGAAGTGGATTTACCGCATAGGTGCGGAATCACGGCCAAGACGGAACGAGGATGGTTCTTAAAAAGCACAGGGAAGAGGTGTGTGCGGCAGATTACCACTTGTGTCACCTAAAAAGGGGGACGTGTCTGAACAACAGAATTCTGACGCTGGGCAGAATGGAGGTGTTTAAAGAGGGAGATGGGGAACATGACCCAATTTGAAGTTCCGCAAACAGGATGCGTAGGCTGAGACTATGTAATAGAAAAACAGGGTCAGGACAGAAAAAGAAAAGGCAACAAGAGTCTGTGGCATCTATTATTCTTTTGGCTTATTAGCTGCCGGAGTAGTTTTTCCCAGTTAAAAACGAGGGACCGGGACGCCTGGGTGGCTCAGTTGGTTGAGCAACTGCCTTCGGCTCGGGTCATGATCCTGGAGTGTCAGGATCGAGTCCCACATCGGGCTCCCTGCTCGACGGGGTGTCTGCTTCTCCTGCTGACCTCTCTCCTTCATGTCTGTCTCTCTAAAATAAATAAGTATTTTTTAAAAAATTAAAAAAAAAAACAAAAACGAGGGACCGCATATTGCACGAGCCGTGCACACGTGATGTCTGCAGAGACGGGGAGGAAAGCAGCGGTCACTGGGGGAACGGGGAGCGCCTGGCGAGTGGGCACGGGTCTGCTCTGCGGTGAGGAAAACGTCCGGGAACGGAGGAGTGCTGCTGCAGGCACAGCTCCGGGACAGCGCCGAACTCCACGGAGCTGCAGAACAGCAGGGTCGGATGCGAATCATGTCTCATGAGCACTGTCACTAACAACAAGCTCTGTCTCGGGCTCACCTACCTCTGACCTGCTCGTCCACCTCTGCCCTCTGATCGGGCCACTGGAGTCACCGTATGTGAATGCAGAGTCCACCGCATGACTTACTAAAGTGTCCAAGTAAACGGCAAGCATTCCCAATAGATGGACAGATGACACTCCGCACGCTTGGACCTGGAGGTCCCGGGTGAGGGTTTTGCCACTGCCCAGCTTTGGTCTTCGCCTCCCAACTTTGTGCTACGGCCTTTGATGCAGTTGTGTCTCCTTCCTGGCAACAGCAAATTCCTGCCACTGTCCGGGGGGGCGGGCCCCACCTCTTCATCCCCAGCAAGACCCCCAGAAGGCACCTTAGCATCGGGGCTCTTCTAAGAATCAGGACCTCCGCTTCCCTGCGTGGGCTCAATGACAGCTTTCTGGGCTACTCCTGAGCATTTAAGTTCGATTCTAAGCCCCTTACCCAGGCTACAGGCAGACAGGGGAGCCAAAGAGGCAGCTGCATTTTAAAGACATCCCGAAGCCCGATGGTCACTGGATACTTTCACGGCCCATTTATCAGCTTCTCTGCGCCTGTGCTCAACTGACAGCCAGAGGTGTCTTGTCCGTCTCCCTTCCTGACGAAGACTCCTACACCTGGGCACCAAAGCGCCACGCCACCCAGTCTTCCTTTCCCAGATGGCCGCTGCCCAGGTCTACAAGATCATGCGGAGTCTGCAAGCATCCGGCCCGTATGGAAGCCAACTTCTACCGTCCTCACCCTGCATTCTGAACTCTCGGTACTGACCACTCCTTCACTCCCCAAGTCCGCGAAGCCCGCTAGATTGGTGGCTCGGCACGGCTTCCTGGTGCTAGTCTGAGCGCCCGCAGTCTGATGCTTCTGGTACCATGTCAGTTTCTGTCCAAGCCAGTCATCTGAGAGTCCGGTGACTGTTCTAGAGACCTGTATGTGGGCAGTTAACACCAAAACATCGGCCTCTTCCTGAATCTCATACCCGACCCAGGCCTCGGAAACAGGGTTTTCAGCTCTTCTTTATTCCTTGGCTCTGGATCTTTTCCTCCCTTTTCTTGTGCTCTATGGACACAGATTTCTTTTTGACAGCTCTGTTCTATTTTGGCTTTCCCTGTCAGGGGTTTGTAGTAGGAAGGACTGGCTTAGTCCGTTGCGTTGTTAATGAAAAGACTTCTAGTTAGGCTCATTGCTCTTATCATCAGAAAAAAATTAACTTAAAGTAACATCTTGAGTAAAACACGTCCACTGAAAACAAACACATGCTTGTGTTTCTTCCATGAACGATGACATGCTAACCTAGAGAACTGCTCTCTACTCTGCCGGCGAAGGCTGCAGTCCCCATCCTTGTCCATTTACACAATAGAGCGTTAAGTAATTTAAAACATGCTTCTTTAGTTAACGCATTAAAAAAAAAATAGAACAAAAAGAAAAATCACTGTGCATTTGGGCTACCTTTTGGCTCCCCCGGCGTCAGGTGAAACGATGATACAGTTCCTCCACTCGGCGATGTTCTCCCGAATCCACTGCAGGACCGCAGGCTCCGCATACAAATTATCCACCGGGATGTCAAAGAATCCCTAAGGGGAGAAGTCAGTGTCACACTGCAGAGTTTTTTGGGTTTTTTTTTTTTTTTTTTTTACAAGATACCCTCTTCCATTATGTAAAATTCGGATTTTCTATTCGAAAGAAGCCTTTTCAACAAACTCCCTTTTCTGAATTTTAATAGAATTAAATCAAAAGACAGGTATGTTCCGGGCACCTAGGTCAGTCCAATCCATTATCTTTGCAGACATGTTCTAAAGTTTACTACCAAGTAGCCATTCCCCCTCCTCCATAACTATTTGGACGCACTGGTGGAAGACAGCAGAAACAACTGTTAAACTCTGTTTCCAAGCCCAGTAAAGATGAAAATCCAAGACAGCAACCACATACAAACTCAAACACGAGTCATGTTATTACCCGCTTCGAAAATAATTTAACTTAACGCAGTAAGTATTTAACCACATCCATTAAGGCCCTGGTCACAAGGGCAAAAAAGAAAATGCTGGAACCTGGATCTGAGAGGCATGCAGGTCCATGGTGATGATGTGATCGGCCCCAGCGACTGAGAGCATGTTGGCCACTAGTTTCGCCGAAATCGGAGCACGACTCTAAAAAATAAAGACACAGATTTTATAACAGGAAAAGAGAAGGGAAGAGATAACATTAATAAAATTAACCTAAGTCATTTAAAACTTTAATACTTCAAATTATTATTAATAACAAGAAAATTACATTATTAACCAAAGATAGTCGTTCCATTTTATTCACCCAACATTTACTATTTCCATATATTGTTGCAAGACAATGTGCTTGACACTGGGTAGAAAGAACAAATATCCAAGAAGCAAACCAAACACACACAGGTAACATCGCCATCTGTATTATGCAAAGAGTGATGAGGGTGAGGAATAAGAGGTCCCAGAGGAGAGGAGAGCACGGAGGGCATGGAGTTTAAAGACACGGGTCATCAGAGGCCCCTTTAAGGAAACTGCTTTTAAGGTGTGGTCAGCAGAGGGAAGACCAGTGTTCCAGAAAGAGCAGCACGTGTGACATCACTGAGGCCAACAGGTCACATCCGGGGACCTAAAGAAGCCCAGTGTGGCCACGGGCACTGGTCTGAGACTGGGGGTGGAGGGGCGGGGCGGGGCATGCTGGGAAGGGACGCAGAGGCCAGGCCCTCCTCAGGAAGAGCTCATGTGCTGCAGCTAGAAGCGTGTGCCGTCACAAATTAAACAAAAACCAAACTGAAGAGAGAACACTGTACCAGGATAAAGAATTTGGTGTTTCAAGAAAGGGTACGAGGTGATTTATTGACGCTGTCTCCTCTTTAGCATTACGTGACTTCTCTGCAGCTTTAGCTTCTACATCATAAACCCTGGACAATAACGGTCTAACTCAAAAAAACAAAAATTAAGAGACTACACAGACATAGATGACACCTGGGAAAAGAGGTCAGCATTTGACTGTGAACGGTAATATTCTCATACACTAACCCCAAAATATATACATATAAGCTGAAAAGATTTCATTCAGACTCACAGAATGTCATCAATTGCATCTCAAAAGTGAAACAAAAGACATTTCATTCACAATAGTAAGAAATAACATGATCCCTATTAAATACACGCGTATATTCATGTAAAAACGTACACGGGAAGGAATTACGCCATGATGTTAACGGATCATTTGTATCTTCTCTTAACACACCATACTTTAAACAAACAAACAAACAGAAACCTACTGCCTTATAATCTACTGTGAACATTAGCAATGGGAACCCTCACTAGGGGCAGTCTGAAGGTTTTGGGAGGGGGAGTTTTCATGCCCTCCCAACTCCTCGTCCACTGCAGACCCAAGAGGAAGAGGCGTCCTTGACCTTGCGCAGGGTTCCAGCAGGAGGAAGAAGTGGGAAGAAGTGGGCGCCAGGGAACAGCTCAGCCAATGAGAAGCCGCCACACTTTGAACTCCCAGGTTCCTCCGAGAGACTTTTAGTTCCTAAGCGCCCTCCTAACCTCCCCCTTCTCTCCTTCAAAAGCCTAGCTCTCCCCGCTGTCCTCCGCCTTGCCTACAGTCTTGCCACACCTTGTTTGTTTGCAATTCTTCCATTCCCAAACCACCCCTCGATTGCTGGGAAAGTAACCGGCAGAGTCTATTTTCAAGATCTGCATTACTCGGTGATCAGATGCGACCCAGAGAGGCCCCGGGGCTGGTGAGCAAACAGGTGTGGTACCCCCGGAGCTGCTGGGGCTCACTGCCTTATCTATGACCCTGGAGTTTTCAGGGGAAGCTTTCTCCTAGGATTTTGAGCTTCATGCCTTGTGTCTAAGCTCTCCGGGCTTTACTTGGGATCTGCGTAAGCCCTCGGCTTTGGGGTTTTCGGTTTTTGTCTGTATCTCTGACCCCTCCTTGGACCTCCAGGACAATTCAGACCGTTCCTGATGGAACCGTTCAAGCTTCTGGTTTGCTTCCTGTCAGGAACGGCACTGTTCCTAATGAAACCGTAGCCGGGGTCCCAGGGGTCCCACATAAACCAGCTTTGGCTACCGGCCACTGACGAGATCCAAAGGCGGAGAAAGCAGTGGCGGTGGAACAGGACAGAACTCATTTCCACCCAGAAGACAGCGGGACCAGTGTCTCCAAGATGGTCTCCAAAGTGCCAGAAAAAGGTCTGGTTGTATATAAGGAAAATGTGGGAAAAGGTTATGTAGGGACAGGCAGGTGGGCGGCGAGAAAGTCAGATCCATCCATCATTTGCCTCGGGGTCAACTGTGGGGGAACTCCCTGCCAGAAGCAGCCCACTGCTCGAGGGGATAATTTTGGTTCCTCTCAGGGGCTGCCGTGCCCTCGGGGTCTTTGGCCTGCGGGAAGAGATAAGCTGGCAAGGGAAACTTAATTAGAAACTACAGACTCAGGCCAGAATGGAGGCAGCTAAAGTCCTCCCGCAGAACCAGGCTGGCCTTCAGTGTGATTCCTTTTCAAAATCGGACCGTTCCTATCGGAACTGTGCTGGCCTTTCATCTGATTCCTTCTGGACCAGGCTGTTCCAGAAAAACCTCTAAGAAACAGGACCCAGTCATCAAAATGCTCTGAGGGCATGCCGCCACCCCCCCACCCCTCCACCCCTCCACTGGGACTCCAGCCGGTTTTATGTTTAAAAACTATGGTCCCTCCACATGCACATTTATAAATAAATGGACTGGCTTACCCAGAAGTCATTTAGAACTTCAATGGCCATTATGGGGAACTGTCAATCTTTCCGAACTTAATTTTCTCCAAGTTGAACTGGACAACAACCATGGTTCTCAAACTGAATGGGATTTCTATTTTAATTGGTACTTTGAAGCTTCGAAACACTATCAGGAATCTGAAATTGCCTCTTTCCGAGATACACTTTATATACTAAACGAGGCAAACGATTAAAAAGAAAAACCGGCTCCCGAGGCCTCTTCACCCTGCTCCCAGGTCCAAGGCAGCCAGCCACCTTGTGTTCAGGCCCCTCCCCCGAGGCGCCATCTTCTTCCGGCATCTCTGTTCCTTCTCATCTCCTGATCTCTCCTTCTAGTCCTTTTGCCAAACCTTCCCTTCCTCAGAAGCTCCTCCACTCTCTCCTCTCCTGAACCAGTTAAAACGTGCCCCTTTAATGTTAAGTCTTCTGAGGATCTAAACAGACCCTTAAGTTTCTTACGTTATCTGAACTAAGGCTGAACTTCCAGCCATGGTTAAAGAGTTTCCTGAAATGACCGGGACCCCTGAGGTTTGCTGAAGAATCTAACATAGTTATTCCAACTTACCACCCTGGTTTCTCAGATTTTTATCAACTAGTACACATGCTTGTTGGTGAGGGCCAGGCCAAACACCGGACGAAACTAGCCCAATGGGAAAATCCTTAGCAGGATTTAGAAACAGACCCCTACCTTTCGGCAAGATGATAGAAAACTCACTGGAAATCTCCACTGAACAATTATAATGGCTTTTCGTAAGCCTGTTGATTGGAACAAAATTCAGGCTTACACACAAAAATTTGATGAAATCTGTTCATGATTATTACAATCACCTCCCAACTGTCTTTAAAAATTCTGGTCTTAGTTTGGATGGTGAATCCGTCGAGGTAACATTTAACTCTATGCTTATTAATGACTACTCCAACTTCCCTTTTAGTTAAAAGGACCAGGATGGGATGAGAAACTACATCCACTTCAGATATGAGTAACCTGGCAAACCAGCTTGCTCGCACCCTAGATAACGCAACTAAGGGAAAGATGGCTAAAATTTTTGATGTTCAGCGCCAGCAAATGAAGTCCCCTAAACAAACCGGAAGAGTAGTTTCTGCTATTATTTCAAAGAACCAGGACACTGGGAAAAGACTGTTACAAATATAAGAGCTTCAGGCGTCTTACAACGTCCTAATTCCCAAGGACAGGGGTAGAGAGCAAGATGGAGTCACTCATGTCAAGCAATGACGCAAGCAGTTCAGGGCACTACAGCCACAAGATATCACCAAGCCCACCTCAGCTGAAACCCCAGAAACCATAACACGCAGAAGCAGAGGAGGTCTGCTGGTCACACCCCCTAAGAGTTATCAGAGTCTCCAGGGTCCTCAAGATGGGTGTCCTGGGCCCCTGCTTGACATGAGTGACTCCATCTTGCTCTGTACAACGGGGCTACGGGAAACTACAGGGGCTTTTCCCAATCCTCCCTCTAAGCAGCCTGCAGAAACTACTATCCACGTTGGGCTAAGTCTGTGTCTGCCCTTACTGACACCCTGGCTATAAAGCAGGCCCCGCCTCGGAGTATTAAAATGGCTCATAGAGCGGGAGGCTTCTGATCGATCTCGACAGGCTCCTGTCTCTGAACCTGCTCCCATCTGTCCAGGCCCTTTAAGAGACGCACCTCCTTTCTTCCCTGGCTCCTCTGTGCCTATTCATCGACTGGGCCCAGATTTCTTAGAAAAATATGCCGGAAGCTGCTTTCTCGCAAAAGAGGAAAATAATTCTAGAATTTGACAGTAGTGACCAAAATAGCCAACTGGGGGAAATAAATGACCCGTCGGCATCTTTTTTAAGCGGTCTCTGATGGCACTTTGACTGACACCCATTCCCGCCGACAGCAAATGCTTCACTGTAACTGACCTACGTGGTGCATTTCATAGCGCCCCGGTTGGTAAGGACAACCAGTATCGGAAAGAAAGGCAACGCACCTGGTTGGTGATGCCCCAGGGCTACACAGAGCCCTTCCTAACTTTCCCCAAACGTTAAAAGCGGATTGGGAGGATCCAGAGTTTTCGGCAGGTTCTACTTTGTCACAATACGCAGTTTGCTTCTGTCCTCCTCCTCAAGCCTCTACACAGAAGACAGCACCCACCTGCTAAAACTTTTGGCCTTAAAGGGATATCAAAGTCTCCAAAGAAAAACTGTCCTTTGTCCAAACTCCGGTTTGGTATTTAGGGTCTGTGATCTCAGAACACAGACCAGAACTGGATCTGGGCAGACTCCGAGGGAACCTACATGTCCCAGAACCTAGAACTAAGAGGCTTTCTCAGACTGGCTGGCTCTTGTGGAAACTGGGATTCCAAACCTCTCTCTCCCTGCCCAGCCTCTACGCCCTTTAC